TGTGGACGATCATTTAATTCACTCATCCAACATGTAGACAAAAAGAAGAAGACACTGTATTCATTTATCTCCACAATGAGAAGTGTACATCATTTTTCACATAAAATATCATAATTTTAGAGAATTTCTTTACTTACCTTTACAGTTTTGTAATTCTTCACAGTGCGAACTCAGATTGAGAGAGAGGTAAAAAGTGGTATTAGGGTCTTTCAGATATACAGCCATATACACTAAGCAGTGATCACGAGGGACCACTAATAATACAGACATTTCTTTAAGTATGTTATTTATATACAAAAAAAACAAGAATACAAATTAACATGTTAAACCTCTTTGACAACATAATCTCTCAAAGTCACTAGATACTAAAACTAATGTCGCGTTATTAACGTTAGCCAAAAAATGTCATTAATGCTTACCAGTCTGTGTGGATGATCATCTGCAGGTCTCACTGTTAACTGCAGTGCTGGAGTTCCAGCACTCAGACGTATCCAGTTAGACAGAGAAAGAAAAATAGAGAAATATGTGATTATACCAACTGTTATTGCCTGTTTGGTGAATGAGAGAATTAACAATAAAAAAATCTTTAACCTTTTCAGTTTGATCTCTCCTCACAGTGTGGACCTGGATGAGTAGGGAGGTAAAAATTGATATAAGTGTCTTTTAGAAATACAAGTAAATGGAAAAAAAACACATTTATAACTGGAAAATAAGTTGTCAGAAAAGAGAGAATATAGAAGATCAGTTAAAATACAGATCATTTCTGTAGCCCATATTATCTTTATATTAATGAAAAAGAAAAACAAACCAACCATGTCATACCACTTTGATGACAGACTATTGTCTTAAAGTCAACAGACACTAAAACTGACACAGTGATATTAGCTGTAGCCAAAAATGCTAATAACACTTACCAGCCAGTGTGGACGATCATTTAATTCACTCATCCAACATGTAGACAAAAAGAAGAAGACACTGTATTCATTTATCTCCACAATGAGAAGTGTACATCATTTTTCACATAAAATATCATGATTTTAGAGAATTTCTTTA